CTGTTTTGATTAGCCAAGGCCAGAGCATTGGAATTTGAACTAAAGTTGAGTATAATGTTATTGTATAAATTAAATAAATTATTATAGAGACTTCTTACAAAGTTGATCTTCATTTCAAATAGCTGAGAATATTTCCCAAAATAGATTCACTAGGCCTTCAGATTTTTTTGAATTTCAGTATTACTATTACTCATACAGTAAAACCTGTCTAATCCAAATGCCACCGTGCAGTTAAAAACATTCAGATTGGGAGGTGTTCGTTATCACAATAGATTATAATTATATCATTGATAATTTAGAGTTTATTCAAAGATGGCAGCAGCATTCTCAGAACCTAACAATCAGAATCTCATTAATCTTTTGTTCACGTTAGTTATTTAAACTTTATATTCATATATAGATGGCAGTTCTTAAATATATGATAGACACCAATAATTCAATATCATAATTTAACCTTTTCCATTAAATATACCCTGTATCAAGCACAGAAACGTATTTACACCCTTTACTAAAATGGCAACCCCTGTATCACGCACTTGTTCCATATAAGAATAATTAATCCATATTGCAAGTTAGTTCATTTAAGACAGTGATGATGTAATCATGCGGGTTACATAGACTGTAACCCATGATGAAAATGGAAGCTTTTGTAGATAAACTTGTAGAAATAAATAAAAAATTATATATAAAGGAAGAAGAAATATTTCCATGGATCTCAAATATAGTCACTGGAATTCAAAGGAAAGGAAAACAAGGAAATCTGCGAAAATCTGATTTTAGAAGGGACATATCATCGTTCAAGGACCCCTTCATAAATGAGGATAATGAAACATTGATACCAGCATCCACCATACTGAGGTATATTTGCCATAGATTTGATAAATATCCAGAGTTCGGAGATTTTGTTGATTCAATCATCAGAAAACATTTTTGAGTTCATCACAGAAACAGCAAAAGGTAAAAAACTATCGAGATTTGTACAAGGCTGTCAGTGGCTGTGAAGACATTCTAAAAACGGAAGACTTTCTTGAAACAGCAGTACACCCTGAACATGTGCATGTGGAATACAAGTCAGAATTTCAACAGAGTTGGAAACATATATGCTATTTTGAGCATTCATATGACATGTACAGAAAAAATTGGGACTAACAAAATAGAGGCTTTGATGAAATACTCGATGACAAATAATCATATCTTGAACATATCAAGAATATACACAAAGAATCAGCTGTCCTTCATGTGACAAGTACATATGTACCAATGTAATGAATGAGATTGAGCTCAGAAAAAAGAAACGCGATACAAATTGTTCTACATGTTCTACATTTTTAATTAAGTATCTGAATATAATTTGAAGAAAATTCATGTATTTAGATTATAAATTGTAAATCCATATCAATTTTTCTCATGTATAAAATATTAACATGATTCAGATAATTGTGAAAAACAGAAAACAACTAGATAACAGCAACTCCGCGGATTAGCAAATCCCAACGAACAAAATATCAATTACCGAATTCCAATCAATTATACTCATTACTTTGGTTGAAAATGAAAAAATTAGATTTTAGAATTGCGAATTCTTGCAAAGCAGCCATTTTGAATTTTCTGAGGTACAAATCTGAAAAATAATACCATAATTGTGATCTACTCCAAAATTCCTTCAATTTGAGTATAATATAGCCATACTTTGAAGGGATCGAAAAATTATTGCGAAATCGTACATTAGACTGCCATTTTGAATTAATTGAGTATAATAAAGCTATACTTCAGAAAGATCTAAAAATTAGCGAAAATTTCTGTTTTCCTGTCCCCCATACATGGCCCCTGGGGGTCAGGATGAAAAACACGGAATATATGTGAAATAGATAAATGTTGTGAATACACTACCAAAAGGACGATTCTCGGTTTGGAGAACGAAGTTCATCAATCTAAATGAGCATTATCCCTGCTTCGGACAAATTTGATTTTTTTTACATAATATAGATTTGAATGTCCTCTTTTGAATAGTCATAATTTAATTTGGGTAATATTTCTAGATTTTTCGCAAAAAATATATTAGTGCAGTACACTGATGAACTTCTTTCCCCAAATCGAGACTTGTATTTTATTGAAAAATTTACGATTTTTGCGAAAAAGTCCCATCATTTTTTAAGCGGCGGCCATCTTGAAAAAAAAAATTTTTGCGTAAAACTATTCACCAATATACATCTTTCCACTAAATATGAAGAAAATCTGTCAACTAGTATTTGAGTTATCTTCCGGACAGACGGACGGACTGACTGACTGACTGACTGACTGACGGACTGATGGACAGACGGACGGACGGAGGGCTTCACTATATCCCTAACGAACTTCGTTCGTTGGGATAATGAAAGTGATGGAAATAAATAGTGAAGAACTTTATTCAAAGGTCAAAAAGTGGTCTACACTTTTAATTTAAATATCCATGTATCCATGTGTATTTAGATCATATCAGGGCCGTTAGATGGGGGGGGGTGCGATTGGTGCGACCGCACCCCCCTTTGGCACACCCCAAAAAAAAATTAAAAAAAAATTTTTTTTGAAAAAATTTTTTTTGGAAAATATTTTTTGTAATTTTTTTTCATTGACTCATACACTTTGAAAGTACCCAGAAAGCACCAAATAGCATCTTAAAATTGTGAAATTTTCTAGGGATATTGGCCACCCCTCACACCCCCCACAAAACAATGGAAAAGTTCTAAATTTATTTTAGTGTTTTGTCTCAGACATTTTTAAAGTGCACAGACATCATCAAATAGCTCCTTGATACAGTTAGTGTTTCTAGGGGACTAATACTTGCTCCCCCTCTTGCATCTTGCACTTGCATCCCCACACCACCTCCCCCTCTGGCGCCCCCCCCCCCCTTTGACCCCCCCAAAAAAAAGTGGATAAAAGTTGTGATTTTCTCAAATTCTTCAATTGACTCATACACTTTGAAAGTGCCCAGAAAGCACCAAATAGCGTCTTAAAATTTAAAAAATTTCTAGGGGGAGTGGGCCACCCCTCACACCCCAAACAAAACAATGGAAAAACTCTGAATTTGTTTTATGTATTGTCTCAGACACTTTTAAATTGCCCAGACATCATCAAATAGATCCTTGATATAGTTAATGATTCTGGGAGACTAACACTTACTCGCCCTCTGGCATCCCCACTCCACCTCCCCCTCTGGCATCCCCCTTGACACCCCCCCCCAAAAAAAAAAATTGAAAAAGAAATTAAGATTTTTCTAATTTTTTATTGACTCATACACTTTGAAAGTGCCCAGAAAGCACCAAATAGCATCTTAAAATTGTAAAATTTTCTTGGGAAATAGGCACTTTTAGGCACAGACACTTTTAAAGTGCCCAGACTTCATCGACTAGCACCTTGATGTTGTAAATGTTTCTGGGGGACAGATATGGGGGACAAACACTTGCTCCCCCTCTGGCACCCCAACCCCACCTCCCCCTCTGGCACCCCTCCCTCACCTTTGACACCCCCAAAATTTGAAAAAAAAATTATGATTGTTTTTCAATGTTTTTATTGACTAATACACATTTTAAAAGTGCCCAGAAGCACCTACCTCATCTTTAAATTGTAAAATTTTCTAGGAGAGTCACCCCTCACATCCCCCACAAAACAAAAGAAAACATTCTGAATTTCATGTATTGTCTCAGACATTTTTTAAGTGCCCAGACATCATCAAATAGCACCTTGATAGGGTCAATGTTTCTGGGGGACAGACACTTTCTTCCCCTCTGGCACCCCACCCCACTTCACCCTCTCATCTTTTTTTGACACCCCCAAAAGAATTTGAAAAAAAATCACATTTTTCTTATAGACTCATACAGAGAATGCCCAGAATGCACCAAATAGCATCTTAAAATTGTAAAATTTTCTAGGGGGAGTGGACCACTCCTCACACCCCCCACAAAACAATTGGAACGTTTTGAAGTTGCATTTGTTAATGCCAAACCGATATAGGGAGTAACCGACCCCCCCCCCCTCTCTGACTTATGCAAGTTGATTTACGCGGCAAAAAATTGACAATTTTATATTCTCTTTAGTAAAAACCGCACCCCCCTTGGAGAAAAGTGTCTTACGGGCCAGCCATATGCTTGTAAATCTGTATCAACTTGTCTCATGAATTTCTAGTTACTAGTACATGTATTGTATTTTCAAATAGATCAGAGTACAGAATAGGGATGTGCAAACTTCAACTTTTATAGGATATGCAGGTTTTCATCAATCCTGATTTTCCTCTTATATATAAAACTGTGCCGAGTTAAGCAATGATACAATACATATTTCATTTAAAAGTACAAAATTATATTTGATTTGCTCTTGTTAAAGCCATAAATATTAAATTTAAATATAACAACAGCCAAAACAGGAATGAAATAATTCAAATATATTGTGCCTGTTATTTATATGTACATACTGCTTAATCAAATATAAAAGTGTACACCAGTAAGAAATGCTCTCTAGATAATCACTGAGCTGAAAAGTCATGCAAACTTGTGATTTATGTGGTCATTCATAAGATCTTATCACTCAATTAGTAGCCACCTACAGGACTAAAAAGGAATCATTCAAGGGGCTTATACTATAGACTGTCCAATGGTTTATATGTTTAGTTTTCTTGCCCATGGATAATTTTCAGCCAATGCTTACTAACCCCTACGATTCTACTAAAATGTGTTCACGTCGTACTTTCCAACTTTTATTTTTGAAACTGAGATGTCTGAATGATGTTTATGATTTTATTGATAATTCACTATTTCATTTCGATATGATTTAAGATGTCGGAAATATGATTTATTTTGTAAACATGACAATATTTTTCAAAAAAGTCGTGCTTTCAAGACGAATTCAAAAGTTCTAGATCCTGTTCAGAAAAAATGTTTAAACGTAGCGATACTATAGGCATCTCTGCGTAGCATGGGCGGAAAGACTCATATTCTGTCAAAACGTTGAAATAAATAAGTACTTACAAACTTGGCGCCAAGAGCACGTTGTCTACTTCTGTTTGTACGACGTGTTGAGATGGGGGCGTGAGAATATTATCCTGTCGTCATCCATGCCATCCTTACTGAAGTTTGTATATTGGAAAATGTTCTATATATGTAATGTTTCAGTGTTTGGCAATGGCATATGCTCGAATATTGAAATCATTTGAAGTATCTGATATCTGTATCTGATAATCAATGCGTAAAGCGTAACGCATATCGTTTAGCAAAGCGAAGGCTCGTTTGGTGTTGCTCATCCGTGAAGGACCGATCTTGAAGGATGGTGTTGCTCACCGTTTAGTATAAAAGGCACGATCCCGGAATAATACTCGAGTAATAGGATGAAGTCACTAGAGCGTTTAGTACAGAGGTAGAGCCACTAGAGTGTGAAACTATAAACACATACCTGACCTACCACTCTCCTGGACGTAACATAGTCACTCAACAGATCACATAGATCTCACACATCATGATAATCCATGACATCTCATTTCTTCTCAGCCCTGAGATGCCATGATATAATGAGCTTGATTTGGCGATCCAGGAGAGCCCAAAATTGAGGATTTTTGAGATCTTTCATCCAAGCTCATATTTCATTTAATTGGGGTCATTAAACTTGTGTACACATGTCTGTGCTAATATCTGCTGTAAAATACAATGCCCATTATGTAATGTATTGACATTAGGTGAGTGATTACATGATAACTATCATACTTATTAACAGTTATAACTCTTCCCATCTAATGTGCTCAGATCACAGAATATGCCTCATAATATCAGAGCATGTTTCAGGTGAAACAGAAATATGGTATGAGTATCAGAATGGATCTCACTTATCCCGTTCCCGGACTATAGTCCTGCACTGAGCGCATTCATTTGCCTGTACGATTACAACTTGGGAGAATTATCTACGCCCCTTACACTTAAGATACCTACCTCAATGCATTATAGAACTCAAGATGTAACTTCTAATATATTGGAACCGCCGATTGTCTGGGTATATCGGCAGAACGGGAACATTTTCTCTTTTTCAGCGAGAGAGATTCCATCACTTTTCAAAATGGCGGTTGGATTTAAAAGGGGAATCCCCCGTTTGGCTGTCCCGGATGTAGCCCGGAAGTACCAATATGGAGGAATTTGACGGTTGAAATAAGTTAAATGTTACACGCAAATATTGCGATCAAAAACGAAAATGTCTTCGTTCTGCCGATAAACCCAGACAATTGTGGATTCAACTACACGAAAAGAATGCTAAATTACCAAGGAATCTATTGAAGTAGGTATCTGAAGTGTAAGATCAGTAAAAAATTCTCCCATGTTGTAATCGCACAGGCAAAAGATTGAGATGTTCACAGGACCATAGTCCGGGAACGGGATAAGATCTCACAGTATAAATGCGTTCAGTGAATACTGAAGAAATCAGTGACCGTAACTGCTGTATGGTATGAGGTATGCTCAATATTGAATGGGAGCGAATTCTGGTTTGTGTTAAAGTTCAGACTACATTTGTGAGATACCATTACGTTCCATATTTTGTAAAATTAATGCAACTACATTATTTAATTCATTTATCCAACATACATATAAAATACACAAATGAATCGTGAATTATCAAATTTGTGAAAAAATCAAAGAGTAAAACAATAAAAACCAGTATAGCAATACTTGATGCAAAATGGCAGATACATTTATCTGCCATAAAATAAAATACAGTACAGTAAAATTTATAGTGCATAATGCTACAGAAAATTATATGAAATGAATTTTGAATGTATGTTTTAGCTATAAAGGAGTGGTATTGATATGGTGAACTTTTAGAACACGCGTTTCTCTTAAACCAGTCATCAAAACATTCTTAAAAGTTTACACATCGTCAATTTAATGGTAATCTTTTGGTTGGTAGCATTATAATTTGAAATACATATACATACTTTTCTAACACATCAGACACTTCTTTCGTTCTTGGTTTTAAAAAAGTATCCTGTTAATGAAATAAAAGATTGAACTTCATCTATTTTGGAGGGTTGTTTTAAGTTTTGGCATACTTATTGTAAAATCAACCAAAATTTCCTTTGTATAACTATAGGCTAAAAAATGTTGTATATGCTAGTTTGTTCCAACAAGGTTCGGAAAGACATCTTATTTCATTCTCAAGAATTGGTAGAAAGGAACAAAAAACAAAAAATGTTAACAAAAACAGTTATCTAAAATATATAAATAATAATTTTTGCATTAAATCGTTGCCAATCAGTCAACATTACATAAAGGATCGTGTTTTTTACAGAATGTGTTCAATAATTGGTTTAAAAGAAAAACATTATTTTATGTTCAATAAAACATTTTTCTTGTTTCTTCTAGCGATAGGTGTTACACGGTATACACAATACAAATATAGGTCATATTCCGCAACGAATATGACATATTCACTTGCGGTGTATGACAGATTCACCTGCTGTATATGGCATACATACTGACCTTAGAGAACGCAATACGGAAGTAGGCAACTGTTAATTACATCGATTCAACGAACGGGCTAAAGTCTAAAAATCATTATAATGATTACTGCATCAACACTTCGGTGCACTGAATATATCAACTATATCAATTGAATAACATATACCAGTGGTACCTGTATTGTTTGATGTTGTTTTATGTATGTGTTACACGCAAAAACACTTCAAGGGAAACCTTATTATTATTATTATTATTATTATATCTTGGATACCGCCATATTTGGCGAGCAATACCTCATTGGTATATTCCGTATTTACGTATTTTACACTCGAAGATATAGCCAGAAACCCCTCCTTGGAGGAGCCCTGTGTTCTTTTATGTGCACAGGTACACAGACATACAGGTACACACCACAGCCTTTTATACGAGTCGTGAACCACTCAGTCAAACACCCAGAATTACATAACGCACAAACAAACTTGTCTGAACCGGGAATCGAACCCGGGGCCAAGCGATATTGGTAACCTTGACTCTCTCTGCCACTGAGCCATAGCGGGTGGACGCGGGTATTACGCATAAATAAACGAATCTACGTTCGTTGAGCTTTCGAGTGACTTTTATAACCAAATCAACAGTTGGCCAGATAAAAACCATAAAAAATCACGAGTATTTATATATTGTTGTATTGGCAATCTCGATTTACACATTTCTGATGCTTTCAGAAGTATATCATTCAGCAATTACACGTAATAAAAGTACTAAATCAATCAAGGATTCATATATTAGTACCCGAAGCGCTAACAATATTGGTAATGCAGCGTAATTTTACATTTAGAATCGATTCCTTCGACCAATCAAATCGAGGCTTTCTGTATCGCGTTTTCCCTTGCGGTATATGGCATATTCCTCAGGTGAGTATGCCATATTCCGCAGGAGAGTATGCCATTTCCGCAGTGAGTATCGGGTATTCACTGAAATCAATGTATCACATATTCACTGCGAAATATGCCATACTCCCATGCTGAATATGCGATATCCGCAGGTGAGTATAGCATATTCACCCGTATTAGAAATACCGCACAACCATGAATATATGCCATATTCCGCGTAACCATAGGGATGAATAGTGGATCAAGCTGGGTATAGTGGGAGAGTTGCAGGGTATAATCGGGATTCACTCCATTTTGAGATACCTGCTCCTATTTTCAGCGGAACCTCTCGTGTTTTCAGCAGGATCTTTGGTTTATTGTTCATGTTAGAAGCGGGGCCTTGAGAGATATGATAAATTGAAATGTTAGGATCAAACTATAACCAGAACGATAAAGCGTAATATTTTTCAGCACTTCCTTTTTTAGTCGCAATAACAGGAAATCAACGAGGAAAATAGTAAATAGTAATAGTAAAATATAGTTTTCTTTGGCATTTGAGTTAAAAATCGATGTATGCAAGTCTTGACCACGGTTGTCATCGAACGATTTCTCCGGCTTTTGAGAGCATTCAATTCAGTTCAGTTCAGTTCAGTATGTTTATTTCCTCCACATTTCATAAGAACACTAAGAAAACTACAAGTTTTTAACTCATAAGTTTGGTTATACCAAAGAAACCCATACCATGTAATGGATATGCCATTTGCTGGTAACCTTCACTTCTGTTTGAAGCCCAATAATGCTAATATAGTAAAAGCTATTGAAAACGACGCCGGAGTATACTCTCAAATGTACCGTGACATGATGATATTTACATATGTTTTCAGCATAACTCTGGAGGTATTGCTCCATTACAAATGGCGGCCACAAATCTAGCAAATTAGGGAAATGATGACTATCAAATATCAGTTCAAATAATATACATAGATTATGGGGCCATGTGATAAATAATGGGCTATGGATGGGGGGGGGCAGTCAATATGAAACACTCTGTAGAAAGATTTTAAAGCATGTATCAGATACAATTTGCCTAAATCATTTTGAATGTCCATGATCAAATGACTTATATCGACGCGTTAATCTGCGAAATAACTTCTTAGCTATTTGCGGTAACGACCTTCTCCTTTCTTTTTGAAGAGTTCTTATTTTCTCCAGTCTTATTTCAGTGACTATTCCAATGAGCAGGTCTGATATATTATGATTCATGGTGACAGACGTCTCTACAAACTTACACGTGTAGTTCCTCGCAATGTCTTCCCCTTCTGAAATCATAATTGAATGAAAAGCATTTAGTTATGCTTGCTAGTGATTTGATGTCAGGGAGTCAGAGAAGACTTTCTTATGTGCATTGTATTATAATGAAAATGGAGATATTATTGAGAAAATAATTCTGTCAAAAAATAAATATGAGTGCAGGTGTGTTCTAGGTTCAAGAGATGCCCATGATACTAGTATGTAAAATAACTGGCTGCTTCTTCAATTTTCCCAGTTTCTCAACATCATTGGATTGCCTAGACAATTCACCTCGAATTCACCTAGCAGCTGCGGAAATAACTAGGCTAATCTGATTTTTAGGAATTAAAAAAATATGTGTCAAGTCCATAAAATAACATACACATCTCGTTTTACTGGACATTAATCCCTTTATACATGACTTTAGCCATCATACCTTCGGGGGTGACTTGTCTTTGCCGAACGATATCACTCTTGTTTCCAACAAGTATAACAGCCCCTTGGTTTGATATGACATCTGCTATGTCATGTAGAAGATCAATTGCATGGTGGAATGTATGTTTATCTGTCACTGCATACAGTATAACATAGGCATCGGCATCTTTGTGCTCTATATGATCCTACAAAGACATGTTTATTTAACATGGTGTTACAAGACAGGCATGTTTATTTTGTATGGTTGATGTTAATGATGTTAATGTATAATTGTAAGTTAATTTAAAAGGAAATAAATGTGTTTTTTTTAAACATGTTACAACCTAGCATTTGTGTCGTCGGCCGGCAAGCTGTACGATACAGTCACCAACATACTCTAAGCTTACCTCTTCGTCAAGTCACATCATAGATATTTACATGTATACACGAGTGCCAAAGGGAAAGGACAAAAGTTATAAAAGAACACGGCAAGAAACAGAAAACAAAAGTGTGCAAAAAGAGATAACAAACCCCAACTATCCCAAACCATAAAATTAATCTAACGTGAAAAGAAACACTGTTTAAGATCCCCTCTCCCACTATTCAAGTACCATTATCAAAATCCGAGACCGCAACACCAAGGGACAGTTATGTACGTAACTCACCTATTTACAAAATCACGTGATAAATGTCAATACAATAAGCTCACCTCTTTGTCGACCATCTCACGGAAGACTAGCGTTGTCTCTCTCTCGTCTATCCATATGGTCATAGTTGTTTGGTTCTGCTCAACTAAAGAAACAGATCTCTTTATTAGAGGCGTAGTGTTTTTTTACAATTAAAATAATATCCCAAGTGTTGGCTTTCAATCGAGTGAATTTATCACTGTCTACGTGACCAGTGTGAAAGGAATGATAGTCCTCGGAATGCCCGTTTTAGCATTGGCATCAACCCGGTCCTGATTGTGTATATGACTATAACAGGCAAATGGGGTCCGCATACTAATCTAGTATAAATGTATAGGAACCGGACAAGAGAACCATAGGACAATAAATACACTAACAATTATACCTTGTCCTTCATCACTAGTCGGTGTACGTACCAGGACACATATACTTGCAAAGTGGTTGACGGAAATGCCCTAATTGTATGTTTTGTCGATTAACTCCTCAGACATTTGGTTTTAGAATTTCGACCATATCATTATTTCATGACCTGCACCGTGATTTGAGCCCACAATCCGACAAAATCTTCTATCAATCCGTTCAAATATCCAATTCATCTTACATTTCAATTGCCTTTTAAAATTGAAAAAGATACAAGTTTGTTTCAATTTTGAATTTATGCTGCTAGTGAGACTCTTGTATTTTGGGCAATTGCTTCTCTCGTTTATAGTGAACTGAAGAAAACAAATTAAATTGTTCATTCGAATCCCCATTCCCTCTCTTTAGAACGTACGTGCAACACCTTGAAAATCTAATACAGAGAATTCATAGACTCCCCTTGACCATTGCAAAACACACACTGATTCCTTTCAAGCAGGTGTAAAAGGGTAGGTGGTCCTATCTATGGTCCTACTCTCCATTGATTTATATGGTGACCTCTTACCCTTATTATCTTATACACAATCGGGGCCAGTAACGGCCGTTAAGAAGGGGGACCATAATCCCTGGGGGACCATAATTTCTTTCACACCGGTCTATCACCCTTTTTATATAAAAAATGTCCCTGCATGTGCAACGGGAGATATAGGCTATGAGCTATATAATATTACAGATATTGTAAGAGGAACTATTAAAACTCTTACACTCCATGATGCGGAGCATAGAATACAAAATAGAATAGAATACAGAATTAAATAGCTAGTCGCTGTACCTATTGTATCAATGTCTTCCATGTCATCGAGTTCCGCGAAGCTCTCAATTAGAGCAGACCTTCCTACACCATCAGCACCCATTATAAGCACCTTATACGCGGGTGGTTTATCAAAATCAACCGGTATCTCCTCAATTTTGTCTGGATCTTCTTTCGGCTCATACGCAGCTTTATTGAATCTATTTTCGTTTGAGATGTTCGCCGCTTCTGCCGCACACGCTTCCATCACAACCTCACAGAAAGCGTTTGATTTAGCCCTTGGGCGTTGCGCTCCCGGGCCGTTTATCTGGGGCTTCAAACGCTGAGATCTTACCCGTGTCAGAGGGCTACTCGCTGATATTCGTTTGAAACTTTTTCCTAAATCAAACATTAGATTTAGAATTAAAAATGCACTTCTTGGTCGGTATTGCAAAAAGTGGAATTAATTTTGATCAGTATTATCATTATACGACTTTTCAAAAATAAGATTTTTTTAACTCAGTGAAGGACCTTTAAATCAACATACCTCTTTTCAGAGCTTCGTCTGGTGAGCCTTTCGGACTGGAATCCCGGTCTGATAATATGCCTGATTTCCGGAGAAGTTTGGAAAGGAATGGCGACCCTATGGGACTGTATTCCTCCGCCTCTTCGCCAATCAATACCGTATGTCTTCTCCTTTGCTTCTTGGATTTCGTCCACCTTAGACTCCTCTTGACCTTCCTTGATGCTCGATGGAAGTTGATTGAGCCGGTTCTGCTTATACTCATGTTATTCTCACTATAACCACTTGGCTTTGGTTTCTCCTCGATTTCTTCAATGCCATTTTTGTTATTTTTATTTCGGTTTCTTATTTTCTTTATCGATTTACGTACAGATAGTTTTCTGAACCTGTCTCTCAAACTCTTCCTGAATGACCTGAACATCTCTTTGGCGCGCTTGTTTTCTCCATTGTTACGTTTGGCCATTGCTTCAAAGTCATCGACGGGTTCACTTGCCTCCGTACTACAGTCATCAGAAAGACAGAAGTCAATTGTAGCATCTCTCTTAATACCCGCGTTATCCTTTTGCTTGATACGCTGTACCTCCTCTTCGATCTCACGATCTATTGAGCTCTTCTTCCCTCTCTCAAACTTCAAGAACGATGGTATTTCGTCGATTCTAAAGTCCGTGACAATATGGGCGTCTGTATTCATTCTCGGATGATGTGTTAGTTGAAGATTTGAATTTCTATTTATTTTCTCCAATGTACAGATTTATATTTAGAAAAGATAATTCGAACAACTTCAATTCAATCAACCAGATTTGATCTGAACAATGATAAAATGAATTTTTCAAAATGTGAAATTTTCTGTTTTTAAATGTAGGCCTTTGCCACATATAACGAAACATAAATTGCAATAAGTTTTTACATCTAATCATAAATATTCTTTCTTCATACTAAAAAAACAGTCAAGCATTGTTAATGTCTTGCTCTTTGAAGATATCAGTCAATATTTAATTCGTATTGATTAAAGCTTCGGGGTATACTGTAGTCAAATTGCGTACTTCTATAACGTAGACTTCTGTTTATAGGACGAAACTCGAGGTTGTTCAAAGTAACGGTGTTCACATTGACATCATGAGCGCTACAGGCAGCAATGGATAGCTAACTACATGACTAATTAGCAGGAACAGGAATTCTAATTATACAATAATGTGCCATTCTGTCTTGAAATAATCACTGAATTAATTTGTAGATTGTTACTTTTCTAAGAAATATAATTATCACACTATCTTGCAATGGTTTAATCAGGAATACGAATGTGTGCATTTTATATATATAGATCTTTGTATACGATATGTTGATAATGAAATCGCCAAATAAAGGACACAAGGTACAGAGTCCGTCCGTCCGTTGCTGCATTCAAAGTGAGCATGGGGGCCTTATGTTGGCAAAATAGGGACTTATTGAAGTCAAAATTCTGCTTTCTTGGAATAGCGATGACAAGATTTATCGATTTGGTCTTTCAAATTGTCAATCAGTTGTAGAAATTGGTAACATGTGCATGGATTTCAAGAAAATCCGATGGGTGGTTTTCGAAAATTTGGCTACAAGAAAACAAAATGGCAGAAACTGAGTTTGCAAAAAGATGGATAAACTTACAATGAATGTGTTTAAAAGCTCCAATTTTGACGGACGTACCGACGGACGGATGCACCAACGGCCGGACACCTAGTCGATCCCATAAGCTCACTGTGCAAAAAGAAGAGTCTACACGTAGATTGCCCTTCTCCCCTTATCCTACCTTCACAGACCCAACCCCACAATTGTTAATACATATAAGGGTTTGACCACGTGCTTTAGAGACATCGAGTTTTATTAAAATTGTATGTTAATGATGAATTCCATGGTCCATGCATACAAAAGTAATAAAGGAGGAGGATTTAAACAATTGCATGTGTTAGGCCAATGCATTACCTCCAGGAAAATCACTTCTAGAGATGATAAAATAATTTCGACTTAGAGACAGGGTAGATGCAAACAACCCACCCACATGTTTTTTCTGAAATGTTTTCCTAATTTTCGACCCCTTCCATCCCTGCTTTTTTAATTTTTCTTGCATCAATATGTTGCATTTTGACACATAGTTAACCACTTTAAAGGAATAAGTGATTCCTTCAGGGGTTTTAAAGATACCCATTATGGGTGACCAAACTTAGCTGAAAGCAATGATTTTTCCTATGGGAAAATAACATGGGAAATATTGTTTTCCACTTTATCTAAAAGGAATCATTTATTCCTTTTAAGGGATTAACTGTGTGTCAAAACGCAACATATTGATGCAAGAAAAATTAAACAAGGCATTAACATGACAAAATGTCACCACCTAGTTGCTCAAAATATTATGAGTTCAAACTTAAGTCAGATTTGAATTTCTGAGAACTTGTAAAGTCAAATTTGAACTTCTGAAAAGATGTAGATGATTTTGAAAAAAAAATTGGGTCAATTTGAAGCAAGTTGAAAACAGACCTTGTTGACCTTTTTTGACCTTGAGAAGGTCATTGAAGGTCAAATGTCAAATCTTAAGTCAGATTTGAATTTCTGAGAACACGTAGATGATTTTGAAAAAAAAATTTAGTCAATTTGAAGCAAGTTGAAAACAGACCTTTTTGACCTTTTTTGACCTTGAGAAGGTCATTGAAGGTCAAATGTCAAATCTAAAGTCAGATTTGAAATTCTGAGAACATGTAGATGATTTTGAAAAAAAAATTTAGTCAATTTGAAGCAAGTTGAAAAAATACCTTTTTGACCTTTTTTGACTTTGAGAAGGTCATTGAAGGTCAAATGTCAAATCTTAAGTCAAATCTAAAGTCAGATTTAAGATTCTGAGAACACGTAGATGATTTTGAAAAATTTTTTTAGTCAATTTGAAGCAAGTTGAAAACAGACCTTTTTGACCTTTTTTGACCTTGAGAAGGTCATTGAAGGTCAAATGTCAAATCTCAAGTCAAATCTTAAGTCAAATTTGAATTTCTGAGAACACGTAGATGATTTTGAAAAAAAGATTTAGTCAATTTGAAGCAAGTTGAAAACAGACCTTTTTGACCTTTTTTGACCTTGAGAAGGCCATTGAAGGTCAAATGACAAATCTTAAGTCAGATTTGAAGGTCAAATGTCAAATCTAAAGTCAGATTTGAATTTCTGAGAACATGTAGATGATTTTGAAAAAATTTTAGTCAATGTGAAGCAAGTTGAAAAAAGACCTTTTTGACCTTGAGAAGGTCATTGAAGGTCAAATGTCAAATCTAAAGTCAGATTTGAACTTCTGAGAACATGTAGATGATTTAGAAAAAAATTGAAGTTAGTCTAAACAGTATTTGTTAAGTTATAGGAAGTTGTAAGAAATTGTTACAGACGCCAACCGCCGGACGCCAACTGCCGGACGCCAACCACCAACCGCCAACCGCCGTCCCAAAAAAACGGAGACCATAACAATATGTCACCACTTTTGGTGGTGACATAAAAAGCAGGGATGGAAGGGGTTGAAAATCAGGAAAACACTTCAGAAAAAACATGTGGATGGGTTGTTTGCATCTACCCTGTCTCAAAGTCGAAATTATTTTATCATCTCTAGAAGTGATTTTCCTGGAGGTAATGCATTCGCCTAACATATGCACCTCTTTAAATCCCCAGGAAATAGCCAAAATCAAACATATGACTGTCCAAAATCTGTTGCGCTAACTTCCCTCCTCCTTTGAAATGGCCCCCTTTTATTTGAAGAGATAACAAAGATTTTTTATGTTAATAGTATTTATTTACCATGCCAGCTGGCATAGTAGCATATAAAACAGCGTCTTCTAGGGCTAGATAGCACATATATAAACATAGGAGAAACAAGGCATTCACTCTTGAGACACAAGAGATTCTATTTCTCTAGATCTCAAATTCCAAATAGATATATTTTTATTTTAATATATTTCAAATACAAAAGATGTCTCTGATAATTACATGTTTTGGTACATTCATAAGTAAAGTAATTGTTTCAATCTGAATTCTAAATTAGAACAGCAACTCCAGGATAAGAAAATCTCACCGAACAAAATATATTTCATTTTAACGTTCTCCAAAAACTAAATCCAATACGCATAATTATTCAAAAAAAAACAGGACATAGAGTGCTAAATCACACCTTTTTATGGATAAATTTAGTCTGGCCACCAAGTAATGGCAATATGGCATTTAGTTATAACCTTGGCAGACAAACTCACAAAGAACTGATAGACAGCTAGACTGCTTCTTAATATATGCCTACATGAAGTTTTGTTCCATGGGATTATAATAAGGTCACTCATGAGAGAACCAAAATCGTCATATGCGAACAAAGTGCTGTGTAAACCTTATACATGATGGGTACATGTTTCATCATGGGACTAGTTCACCATGCTTAAATCCTTAATATGTGTATTGAATACACAAAATACTATATTACATATTACCAAATATAAGAGTCTCTTGTGATAAAAGCTCTACTTGCAATGCTTGTTTTATACCAATAATTTATTTATATGCTATTGTATAAAGGTAAACATACAAACTAAAAAATGTATCATTAAATCCCTATGATTATAGTAACTTTACAAAAAATACAGTAAAGCCTGTATATCCAAAAACTCGCTAATCAAAACACCTCTCAATCTGAAAGCTTTTTTGAAGTGCCAATTTAATCAAATGTGAACACCCCGGTGAACACCTGCTAATATGACTGACTTCTTTTGAGTCCAATTGGTGTTCTGATTAGACTGGTTTCACTGTAACTACAGATGTTTGGTGACTATATATTACAGGCCCAACAAGGGGGTTCACTTTTCGGAAAAAATTCAGGAGATTCACTTTGACATACTTGGCCCAAAATCACATGTAAAATGCTCAGAATAATAATGAAAAACTGCATGATTTTGAAAGAATTTTTGGCCAAGGGGGTATTTCGCCCGAACCCCTCGGATCCCCTGGCTATGGGCCTGTAATACAACTATATGAACTATTTTACTTCTTTTTTTATCCATAAGCCAGGTCTGGTGATAAGGACACACCCTTGAGTACATGAATCATTAGTAACACTGCCTTGAGCTTTTTGTATTTTTTATTCAACAGTGACACATGGTGTAAAAATCAATCTTATATTTCGACTCCCCGATGAATATAATAATACTAAGTGGTTAGGTAATACCTCTAGAACCATATACTAGAACATGTTGAACTTTTAAACATAAGGAGCGCCATAAACAGTGATCCTGGTATCAGAAATACTAGTGATTCAATCCTTATTTAGAAGGCCAATGCATGTCAAATATTCTTACTTTAAAATATTCGGATTTCAGCTTTGCACAATACTGTAGTTGTGTAAGACTCGACTTTAGCCTATAAATATATATCCATGTATCTACAAGCCTAACATCATATCATTTACATCGGTTTTAATAGAAAAAGGTGGCCAAAATGGCATTTCTAAATAATAGGTGTTGACTAATATACTATACTCAGCATTTAACTAAAACATGTTATAATAGATATTTCCAATAAATCCCACCATCTTTGATATATAATAGAAGCCAGATTTGCTAGGACAGGGGCTCATTAACAGAAACTTTGTTAAGAATTCAAAAAATCATTATTCTCTTCCACACCTGTTGATAATTTGGACAGCATCTCTTACTATATGACATTATAATATCCATGGTTACCTGGGTTACAACAATTAATTAAGGAATCCTTAACTAATTATGAAGTTTCTGTTAATGATTCCAAGATTAGTAAAGTCTAACAGCTTGTATAGGTAGCACTGCTTCAAAAAAAAGTAAGATAAGCATGCACTGTATCGGTAATTTACAAAAACAGAGGTATACTTCCGACTACAACCTATGGCTTCGTGAATTTGACCAATATATTCTGGCTTCGTTGGTGTAGCGAAATGTGCTAGGGTTCATTGGAAAGGTCAGTAACATGGTTCACTCCATATAAAGATATTGCACTCAGCTAACTCAACCAATCGGGAGGCAGATCTGTGTTCAGACTAGATAAAATTGCTGTTGCCTAGCAACTACCCTTTGTTTGCCCCTCCCCTTGACATACAAATCTAAACGAGGTAGGAAAATATATGATAGGGGAGAGAATAAATTAGATGCAAGACAAAAATTGTTGGAGGCAAATAATATTTACAGTATCTTCTTCAGTATGTCATTGCAAGACTTTAAGTACAGATTGTTGCTAACAGAATACATTTTTCTCTTAGAAGGACATGTTCATCCTTTAGAATGTGGTCAACAGGTGGCTTTTACTCTTTCAAATATCCTCTACAGGTGCCTTTAAGTTTTTTAAATATCTTCTACAACTGCCTTAAACAATATCTCATGCAATTTTAAATATAGCCATATTGTATAAAACAATAAAACAACAAATAAAATATAATAAAAATTCTTGGAGAGTATTTGAGATAACGTCTATCATTACAAATCAGTTCACATTTGATCAGTTAGAAAATCACATCAGTACATTATTATTACCAATCGTTCTTACTAAACTATATTCACAGTGATACTACAGTTTAGAAACTCATTTGATTCAGTTTTACAATATATGTACTTTATAAATTTACTTATAAATAGTGGCATATGTTAGTTACAAGGAAAATTTTAAAAATTGGACCTTTGACCAGACATCACATGTATGATTATGTACATAATAGGCACATCACATATATACATTATATTTACATAGGGACTATGTACATCTTTCTAGTCCTGTAGGACTGCTCTTTGGAAATAGATGGATAAAACTGTCAACTGATGGCTATTAAAATAGTAACGCGTATTAGTGTTTAAAACTACAATCAGAATTATAGAGGGTAACAAAATTGCAAGCAACATGTACAAATGACCTAGCAAAGCATTCTTTACCATCTCAAATATATTATCTCCTAAAAGATCTATTTCCTTGTTCCAATGACAATATGATCATAACATAATTAGGAATAATTCAATCTCCATGGTTACTGAAATTGGAACAATTTGCTTGCTATGCTTGCTATTGTTGATTCTACCCTTAAGCAATGTGACATCAACCAATACACAATGTTACTATAACTATTAGCCAATATTTTGTCGGTTAACAATAATTTATGTTATTTCGCCGTTCACCAATAGTTTAGACTTTAAGACTCATTTATTAAAACTATAACCAAGTTATGGTTGTTTTTAAAGCAATAGTTATGCTGTAATTATGGCTGTTAACAAATTATGGATATCAAACAATAGTTTAAACTATGGTTTCCTTAAATAGTGACTGCTATAAACTATCAGTTTATCCTGCTGTTTACCCACTGCTATACTCCAATCTCCGCCCATTTATTAATTTTATTTCTATGATCCATCTGATCCAAGTTTCTATCATCGATCAGAATATTGCGATGTTCTCCAGTCTGTCTCTGGATAGATGGCTCTGGTTGTACCTCCTGGCTATTATCGTCACTAAGCGATGAGACAGACGGTTTGCCAGCATTAAGGTCATTATAATTAGTGTTTTCACTGCAGGAACTGGAGCTATCCACCCCACTTGTAGGGGACATGGAGCTCGGCCTGTCCCGGAAATCGTGATAATCATCCTCTGATGGAGCAGTGTTCTCCAGTTCCTCACCAGGGGGCGACGATTCAATATGGATGCCGTTGCTATACGGAATGTGTGTATGTGCATGACAATCCTCAAAGATAACAGCCCCATAAGCTGGCAAGGGTGGGGCTGATGGTTCTACACGAGTATATACCCCACCGTTATCATGTTTAAAGCTTGGAGCATTGTTTGGTAAGGACGCAGGTAGCCTTGTCTCCAAATTAGGCATATCTATTTGAGTATCATTTTTGGACTTTTTAATTTTATTTTTGGCTCTACGGCACATGCAGTAAATAAGGACTGCTACACCGATCATGATGAGTATGCCGCCAACCATACACACAATCATGACTATACCAGGAGTAGCCCTGATCCATGGCACAGAACCTGAAAAATATACAATAATGTGTAAATCAAACAAGGCATAAACATGCAAAATGTCACCACCTGCCATTTGTTACAGAACACCAACCCTCAAACACCAAACACCATCAACAAAAAAGTTGGAGACTATAACAGACTATGTCATCACTTGTGGTGATGACATAATGATACTAATAATAGCGTCATAAATACAACAACATGGGATAGAATGTGCAGGATTTCATCAAGATTTTATCACTGGTGTGCAAAATTTCAGAGTGACTAACAGTGAGGGCAAAGTTGTCCCTGTAACAAATAGACAATTGTAAATCTCACACATGAAACGGAAAATTTACTTGTTATAACTGAACAAACTGATCCAGGAGTGATCCAGAGACAATATATTTTCCATTTCATGTATGAGGCTTACAATCATCCTTTAATAAATAGCTTGCTTCAATTAATATATAAATGTATATAATGTATTTCATGAAAGCGTTACAACTTCATGAACTGACTAACATTACAACTTCATGAACTGACTAGCTATGGACTCCATGTAGCATGGTTTAACCCATGTAATCTATCTGAAATATTCATAATCTCCATTGCAATATTATTTGAATATTTCTAATGTTAAGTTACTCATAAGAATATATTATAGCTGAATCGGAGAGATGCTGAAAGATAAGCAATGGCTCATAAAATGCTAAAACTATATAATAAAGCAGGAATTATATACTGTACTCCAGGTAATTTTCGCGCGCTACTAAATTCACGAAATATAATAGACGCGAAATTCCTACAAAATATAATTTTGGGGCAATCTTGGACAATTGAGAGTATTGACACATTGTTTATCATCCCCTCCTATTATCTAATTTTCTAAGCCTGCCTGTGTTAAAGAATAGGGGGGTAAGGGAGTAAGCAACACAAGGGCTTGTTGCAAGACCTAGCTTTGGAGGATTGGCACTTACACATTGTAAGATTATATGATCCATGTTGAGACCATGTTCCATCAGGGCAAGTTTTACATTTCATCTGTCTCTCCTCATCTTGGTAGTGATTAGCAGGACAATCCACACAGATTTTACTTGTGTTGTCGTACCAGGTACCTACAGGGCATGCCACTGAAATATCATCATATACAGGGTGGTCAAAAAATGGAAACCCTGCATCTTCCTCATACATGTATCTTTGTCATTTTAGGAAATTGCTCCCTGATATTTATCTCATTTGTACATCATTCAATTTCCTACCAACCTATAATATTTCATGACCATCAGACTGACTGTCACAATTTTACAGCACTATAAACAATATGCTACAGGTTTGGTCATCATTGTGTTATAGGCAAACCTGCACAGTTGTCAATGACCCAAATGCATTCCTCAGCAGGTATGGCCTGAATTAATGAATGAAATGATCTCACTTTTGAGGTCTGCAATTGTCCTGAGGTCATTCTTCATGCACTCTCTCTTTGGCGTTTCCCCACAAGTAAAAGTCAGGTAGGGACCTTGGGACGACATGCGCAGGTTTGTCTACAGCGCATTTGTGGCCTCTGGAGCATGTTGTTTAAAGTACTGTAGCATTGTGACTATCAGTCTAATGGTCATAAAATATGGTAGACTGGAAAACTCAGACTGGTAATTGAATAATGTACAAATGTGCCTACAAAATAAAGTGCTCCATTTATTTAAGATACAATATCTATCAGGTCAGTTATCTCCAAAAGAAAAGGATTTTGAATAGAATTCAGCAAAAGAATTAATTAGAGTAATGGTATTAAGTACATTTGATTTTTATGCCACTGTATTACCTCGTACTTGTTTAATTTGAAAGTATATTAGAGATTTAAAAAGTGCTTTCAATGTGAAATAATTTAAGCAAGCACAACTCATCAATATATCATATTCACTCACAAGTTGACAAATAAATGTACAGTCTAACCTGAATGGCAGTGAGACCAGTTAAATGTATTCACATTTCAAGGTTCTAACATGGGAGTCTGGGAGATTCAAAAAATCAGACTGAAATAAGTGTTAACAATAAAAGTTGTTCAAATTAGACAGGTATTTTGATATACAGGTTTAACTGTACTCACCACAAGAATTGTTCATCTTCATATCTCCCTCACCACACTCCCACTCTAGGATACCGAGCCATATTGAGCCAGGGGTACTTGAGCTCTGATCGAAGAAACTGATGGACATGTTGTTCTCCAGGGCCTCTTTGATCTGATCAGCGCTGTGGTTGTTAACATATTCTTGTATAACGCTTATGTTCGACACGTTTTTCCGGGCACTGTCATTAAGAACATTATAGACAGATAGTAGGATAGTGAGATAGCATAGAGGATGCTCCAACCCAGAATGCCCTACTAGCTGGATGACCAATCAGTTTCTAAGGATTTCTCCAAGTGTATTTTTTTACTTGGTTTGACAATTTTGTAGAATTCATAAAAGTACCAGGAAAATGTTCATTGTCAATTGGGAACTTCCTCAGCGCCTTTTTAAGCTTGGTCACCAATCAACATTGAGGGCTGCACTAGTAAGGTGCATTATGGGATATAGGAACAACCTCCAGTGAAAGCTTAGCTACAGACACAGGCCGCATAGTCAACATTGCCACCAAATGAGCCACATTGCCACACAATCTTGCCACACATTATATCAAGGGTTAAAAGAGGGAGATTGATTTAAAGGGAATTATAGTTTGTATAATATACAATTACCAGTATTCTCAAATGGGATTTATTGGGGTCAGTCTACTAGCAACTTGGGGTGGTTCATTTTTTATAAAATAATCATATTCTTTGGATTCTTCATAAATTAATTTTTAGTTATGACAATCAGTAATAAACTGAATGATACCAAAGGTAGGCTACTTCAATATTCAAGATATCTGATGTTTCATTTCCCTGACAATATAAATTGAAGGGGTGTAAAAGCGAATTAATCGCAAAAAGCACAAGGTATTCTACATGACGGAATATGATATTCAAACTAGGCCATCTATAGGACTAAAGTCATAGTCTGTATTGAGGCAGGATATATATATTGGTGGGTGTTTGTTAAGGGTTGGGGTAAATATAATTTGGTGTGGTGAGCTATACATTGGAAGTAAGCAATATCATGGGAGGGACAATATATTTAAGGGTGATATGTTGAGCTACATATTTCGATGACATGATGAGAAAATATATTGGGAAGGTAATATATCAATAGAAAACAATAGAAGGCCAAAATTTTACATGTAGGTAAATGTTGAGCTAACTATGTATTGGGAAAAGCCAACATATTATAAGAGGGTATTGAACTATATATTTGGACACTATACTTGGGATGAGGCAATGTATCTGTGTGTGATTAGCTATATATTGGGAGAAGGCAATATTGACTAATGAAACGAAGACACGTACTGGGTTACACTACATTTACCATAGCAACCAACAACAACATTGATCCTTGGGTACACATGTACATGTATGTATTTACCATAGCAACCAAAAATAAACATTGATCCTTGGATACACACATACATGTATGTATTTACCATAGCAACCAACAACAAACATTGATCCTTGGATATATACATACATGTATATATTTACCATAGCAACCAACAACAAGCATTAATCCTTACATACACACAAACATGTCAAGAACTTACCATAGCAACCAGCATTGATCCCTGAATTCCCACATATGATATGTATGTTAGCAAACATTTCTGATATCAAGGAGGATATTAAGCAAACAATGTGATATGTTCTGGTTGCATGATTCTTATGTTGCTGGTTGCCTAGGCTAGACAATCGCATGTATGTATTTACCATTGCGACCATTGCAGGATATTACATTGTTACTGGTGGTTGCTAATTCACCTATATTACATACTAATGACCAAATATTTCACAATTTGAATGCAAAAATCCAAATACCCTGAAACACAATCCAAATACCCTGAAACACAATTGCTAGCAATAGTCATACAACCCCGAGTGGTACAAATAATTTTTCAATTTTGATGACCTGTTTTACTTCTTTATGGCCTTTTATGGGAGCTTCAATATCATGTGGATGTCAGCTACATATAGGCAGATAACAGTGACTCAAACTCTGATTATATTGGATATCAATGGATCAACTTGAATTCTGATTGGGAAGTCATTTTCTGACTGCACATGGATATTCTGATTGGGCAATGACAAAATTGAAGAATCTATCCAGGGCCGTAGGGAGAGGGGGTTTGGAACCCCCCCCCCCCAAAAAAAAAAAATCTTGACTAAAAAATTCGAACCCACCTTTTCCAGCAATCATGTGAACCCCCCAAATCTTGATTTAATTTTTTGCAGTATTTCAGTAATTTATCGTTTTTGTTTACCTTAGATATTCAAGGAATATGCAAAGATATACTCCAAAAGGAGGCTCCAAAAAAAATGTGCTGAAAATATTCGAACCCCCTCCTGTCAAATCCTGGATACGCCACTGCTATCTGAAGGGCAAAGTGGATTTGGGTAATTTATGTAGATAAAAGATTTCATTCAATACGTTATGCCATAATTTCTTCAAAAATGTAGAGAAACTTTAATCATGGCAGGATAAGAGCCAAATAAAAGGTCACTTTGTGAATCAGGGTATATTGTATATTTTGCTATCGATGTCATAAGACCAGTGAAATACCTGGTCTTCAGTGTGTGAGTTTTGCATGAAAAGTCCTGTCATGTTTGAATATAGTAAAGACATGTTACGGGTTGTGCCTGGTTATACAAGTTGTACTTGGGGATCATTTGAGTACTTTGAAAACTGAATTTAGGTACTTAGTGATGTAAATGACTTTAAAACAACTGAATTTAGGCACTAAGTGATAGAAATGACTAAATGACAACTGAATTTTGGCACTTTGTGATGCTTTAGGTTTAGATTTGGCTGAAATATTTATTCAAAACAGACATCACTTTTCATTCTCCTCTGGAACTATGATACCAGCTATGGACTACATGAATGCAATGCAATTGACAACAGCAATGGACTAAATGTACAATGTACCGAACATCATATATTTGTGCACATATGCAATGTACAGTACTCAAGGTATTCTTATGTACATGTATACTGAATGTGATGCACTGGACATCCATTTTGAGATTAGGAACCCCAAAATACATTTGATGTATCGAAAGACTTGTTTGTTTGATTTGTGTTTAAGAATGTATGGTATAGATATTCAAATATTGTTTTCAATTGGACAATAAACCTTATACTTATTGGACTTTGCAATTTTAGTAATCATTTTTTGAAATTCTGTTCAATGTTTGATGAACTTTTTCAGACCAAATGACATTTTATTTGCATTTCTGAACTTGTTGCCATGGTATAATAATAATTGGTCAATATTGTAGTAGTAGTATTTTTAAATGTCAGTTTAAAAATGTTAAGTATTGTGTCTCAAAATGTTAGCTTATTATTGAGATGCATATTGAATAATTAGATAATGTATTGTAGGACCCCTAATATGTACATGTACTAGTTCATCAAAATGCATTCTACAATATCATTGTCCAATTCTATGTATGAAAACTGTCAAAAATGTCAATGATTTCGGCCAAGGTTTTAAAAAATATTTTCCAAACTAAAATGACTGATTTGTATGAATAAATAAATTCATATGAAAAACTTCATCCTATGTTTTTATTTTTTTATTTTATAATTTGAGGCCATCGTGACATTTAAAATACAGATGCAATGCCCTACAAAGAAAAGATTAATTAAATCGAACATACATGATAAAGAAATATAAGATCTATTTTATAAAACAAATGTGTGCAGATTATAACCCATCTTCTATGAAATGAAACTTGAAGCTGAATTGAAAAAATGATATTTGACATGCAGTTTATTTCCTGATCTAGTGAACTATGTACTATAGGCCTATAAATGCAGAAAGAGAATTGCGATTTTGAATTGATTGTTATGCCATTAACCCAAAACCAAGTAGCTTTACATAGCTAATCATTCAAGTTCAAAATGGGGATTAGATGTGCAAGAAGGGTATTAGTAAAGTCGTTGAAATGAAGCCAGAAAGGTGCCCACATGTGACAGTTGCCCTCGTGTGACAGTTGCCCACATATGACAGTTGCCCTGATGTGACAGTTGCCCACATGTGACAGTTGCCCTCATGTGACAGTTGCCTGATGTGACAGTTGCCCATATGTGACAGTTGCCCTAATGTGACAGTTGCCCTAATGTATGATGACAATATAGTATGCGCAGACATGACTTTTAGAAAGGGTCTATAATTTGAATCAAAACACCCCCAAGAAGACATATCTTGGTCTAAATGTTGAGGATTGTCAAAGGGTGCTTCAAATGTAAGACCATTTCCAAAGATTTCTGCTGATTTCAACTGCATTTAATCTTGATCCTTAGAAAACAACTATTTAGAAAACCAGTGTATCAAATTGAAATGTTACAACAATCAAATTCATGAATAAAAAATAAATTCGATTTAAAAAAGTAAATTGGACATTGCGTAAGATCTTATCTAAATTGGGGATTCTTTTAGATGGCGGTACCAGATGATGAACAAAAACTGATCTTCTGGATTCATTTAAGTTCTATCACAACTGATTTTTTTTAAATGTGAAAGAATTTAAGTGTATTTTTCTTGTATGATTTTCTGCAATGATATCTATTTTTTATTTAAGGGTGTGCAAAATAAATAAAGCAATATATGATGACAGTTTCAAAATCCATGATCAGAATTTGTTAAAACTGGCTATAGGGGGCGCTTTAGGAAGAAAGATGGCAGCATGCTCTAAAGACATGCTTGATAAGCTATCACCCCTTTTTGAATATCAACCAACAATAAAGTAAAATGGAAGAGTTCATAATAAAGGATCAGGGAAAGCAGGATATTTCTCAATTTATTAATGAATTGTTTATTGTTACTCAAATATTTACTCATACTCAATTTTTAAGCTACACACTGAATTATTTATTTTAATTAAAAGTGACTTCTGTTTACTGTGACATATATAACACACAAACCATCAATTCCCGAGTCGAATCTAAATTTTGACTGAATTTACAAGAAAACATACAAGTCAGTCAAAATTAAAGAAATGACCTTGACAATTGTGAGAGAGAAACAAACAGAATCACCTTAAAATATCAAACAATATCTCAATGAGAAATCGCAAAAAAATATTCATTTTCTGATATCTACAGGATGTAAATGAACATTTGCGATTTCCTATGAGACAATTGAGACAATTAGCAATACACTTTAATAATAATAATATAATGTTATGTTGTACATACTTCAAGGCTATATGCATCCTCATTGATAGTTCCATAAGCCGACTGATGAAATTCCTCTTCTTCCGTTTCCGCCGTAACAGTACAGGGCCACATTGCACCTACATGGACAATTGCAGGTGCATTATAACAATGAAATATATGTAAATTAACATCATAGATAATGTATGGTGGTAGCTGTTAATATGGAAGTTGCACTTTATGGATGCATTTCCACATATAAATCCAATTTAATTTCTAGTCTTGCTTCATGACTGTGCACCCCCCCCCCCCTATGTACTTCACCTTCCCAACACAACACATGGAAAGTGAAGAAGACAATGGGGTACATAGTCTTGAGGTAAGACTATATGTCCAACATTCAAAAACTATTATGAATATTCACCGAGTGATTTGTCAGTTTATTAATTCAAGGTGAGTTGATACCTGAACATCCTCAACATTACAACTAAAGTGGAAACCATGGCTGTTGTCAGGGTTACATAATCCGTTGCTATGGAGATTCTTCACAATCTGCTTAGAGATATGTTGGGTAAACTCAGCATCATTGTCACGACAAGGACCATTAAATGTCAGTCTCAATTCCTGGTGGGCATCAACAATGGGCATCTTCCCTGGAGGGCAATATCATTTTAAATGCATTATTTAAAGACATTGTTCTTTATATTCGTGTAATTCCCTTATAAATTGTTCTCTGTTTCATGTAAATGCATACTTTGAAGATGTATATACATGTATATCAAATTGTTCTATATGTCCTATATATCTACATGTATTTGTATGTTTCTATATTTATTGTACATATTGTAAATAACTGTCAATTATGACTGGGCCTCTAGGAAGACCAGTTTTGTACTGATAGAGCTACCCAGAACAAATATAGTTTTCAAATCAAATCAAATGTTATATTACTTAAACATTATTGAACTTTTTGAGAGTATCCTTTTTGTGGTTTTGTTTTATCTTTCAGTCAAAGAAAGTCATCATAAATGTAAACTTCTTTCAAATGTTCACATAATTCTCACACAATTTTAGAAAACTTGGTAAATCATGGCCCTTTCTTCTTTTTCATCCTGAAGACTTAATCTCTCCAAAAAAGGTCTGCTTAAGGTAATTGAAAAAAATCATTCAAGACCATCAGGAGTTGACACAGCTGCCAAAACTTGAAATATCTATAGATACCCTCTGTTTTTGGTCTCTGTATCTGGTCACATCTATAGATGTATGCATATAAAGTGATATATCGAGCAAACTCGATTGGGTCTACTAAATGTACTTAAAATTGTACAACAGATACTTATACAAAGTACTTATATAATAATAAAGTAATAGACAATAAATACATACTAAGGCAAGCTTTTGTGCTGTAATCCATAGGGAAAGCTGTAAGCCACTCCTTGTTGGTTCCACATTGAAACACATGGTAGTCATCTTCATAGTAAAGTACATGGGTCCTATTGTCACACACTGTCCAGCACATGTAGCCCATATGGTTCTCCCCACACACAAGTGCCCCATTGTTTGGGGGATCTACTGGCAGCATGCACACAAGGTCTACAACAAGGAGAGTACATGTACAGATAATGTCACATAATTTTTTCATTCCTATAACTTGGCTGAGATTATAATGTTTTCCTGTTATGAGTGACTTCAAAATACAAGTACATGTACAGATAATGTCACATACGTTTTACATTCCTATGATTTGGCTGAGACTATATTAATGTCTTCCTTGATATGAGTGACTTCAAAATACAAGTACATGCTCAGATAATGTCACATAATTTTTACATTCCTGATTTGGCTGAGATTATAATGTGTTCCTTGATATGAGTGACTTCAAAATACAAGTACATGTATGGTTAACATTTAAGATGACCCCAAATGGTACAATTTGACTTACTTGTTTGTTTGACTCTTAAGTGAAACTTGCAATTTGCTATATTGCCCTCCCCATCTACAGCTTGATACTGTATCTGCCACTCTCCCACAGCAAACTCTGAACCACTGTCTTGGCGGGGACGCACCAAGCGTGCCTGTACATTATCCCAAAAATTAGGGTCTTTCCATGTAACTATAGCAACATCCATTGATGTCTCGACCTCAATATCTCCAGGGCAACTAGTGAAGATTGGAGCTTGTTGATCTGGAAAATGGCAATGTAGAAATACAGTATACACATACCCCAGTTTAATATTCAAAGTCATATGAATTACTACATGTAATGACTTTTTAGCCATGTCAATACTGTTTTCCTGAAAATGTATCACTACATGTCTACAGTCAATCTGAGTCAAACGTGAGGGCCAAAAATAGATGTCTAATTTTCCTTCCAGAAATGGTGACAGTACAAGTTTTTTTTATGAAAGATTATTAACATGTACATGTTTATGTGAGACTTATCTACAACTTCTGTACCTTGCACTTTTACAGCAAATTTACACTCAGCCTCTCTTCCAAATTCATCCTCTGCTTTATAATGCACATACTCCTGGGTATCACCCTCCTTTCCTCGCCACTCAAATCTCAGGTTTGGTGGTGCATTATGGGAACCTTCAATATCAATATTGTTGCCTTGGTGATCCAAGGCTGTCAAGGAAACATTGAAGTTTACGTGTGACTGGTTGGCAGGAAGGATTAACTCTACAAGGCTGTCAGGGCAGTTGACAAACCTAGGCAGTGCTGAAATATACAATGTGTCAAATCAAACTGTTACCATGGTGCAAATGGTTGTCAACGCGATATATGGAGGCTGAAAATGATTGACCGCCAGATCAGTTTGGTTGTATGTTAATCAAGAAGTGATCTGTCAAAACGTAACATTTCAATTAAAGTTTTCACTTTTAAATGATCATAACTTATTTAACGATATAGAAAAATGTAATCATTTCATTTATAATACTTATATCAACCCTTATACTAAAATCTCTCTAACATAATTTATCATCATATTTCCTATTACATAATAAAATGCATGTAAATATGAGGCAATCTTTACACCTTTCTGATAAACAATTTTACCTGGTGTGGTGGATGGAACAATAGGTGGCTCTGTTGGTCTGATTACAGGCCTTATTGTTGCTGTGGCAACATGTGCTACCCCTGTGGTAGTATCACTTTTTATACCTGCACAGAAAAGCAAGAATGAATATATTAGAAACTTTGTAATAATGTATTAATGATATAACTCTCTACCAAAAGATGTGATATCCATTCAAAACAATATACATTTTGTGGTATCTATAATTTCATGTTTTCGTGAATTTTTACATTTAATCAATTTAAATCTGCTAAAAATATGTGATCATTATTGTCCTTTGTATTTTCTATGTCCACATTGTGTTGTCATGGCAACTCAATTATTTTATAAATTGTTCCTCTCACAGTGTAAACAGAATTCTTGTTTATTCCTCGATAATTTCTCTCTTTTCTAATTTAATTTGCTCTAAAAACAATTTATTCCTCTTACAGACTCCATTTTCAGAGCTCCATGTTTCTCCTGGTCGTCTGCAGATGCACTTGGTGCTGCCACCTATTCCATCTGTATGGGCTTCACTAGGGCATGGGGTACATGAGTTGTTGCCCACATGTGCCTTATAGCTCCCTACCTCACAACCTACATGTAGAGACAAAGTACCAGATAAAAGTTGAAAACTGAACTTTTAATGCATAATGATGACTGCCTTATTTAAATAAATGAGTCACTCTAAGTACAACTAGAAGTACAAACATACTTAAACAAAAATAATATAACACAAATAAAAATCTTGGATCTGTCAAAAATTGATGTTTGTGGCTATCATGTGATCACTGATATATGGATATATTTTAATACTTAATTGATAGCCTAAAGTCAATACATTCCATGTGTACAAAGCTTTTTTGTTAAATTATCAGATTTAAATTAGGAGTTTGTAAAATATAGAGAGTGAGATTAAAGGACTTGATTATGATGTGATAATGTATAAACCTCCTCTTGTATATTATACCTTTACATTCTCCTTGGTTCAGCTGTAATCCAGGTGGGCATACACAAGAGTAACGTGTTGTTCCAACTATCCTGGCACACACCAGTGGATCAACACATTGAGGGTTACACCTAAAGAACCCTGTAGGCTCAAGCTCTGATTCTCCTGAAATGCACAGATGGACATAGACACATTAAGGTCAAGTTATGACATGGGACACAAGATGAAGAATGACAGCCATTTAGGATTAATTTTTGAAAACAGATTTTAGGTTGGCATCAAAATTATGTTTTATACATATTATAACTTGTATTCTGATGAGAACTCAAATACTGGTTACTGGATTTGATTCAAATCTAATATGATGAATTGTGGCCACCCTCTGTTTCACAGGGAGATATGCCGATCACTCAATTAGAACAAAATTAGCAGTCTGGCAAAAGCTGGCTCATGGGCACTCATGCCACGAGTGCTAATTTAGTACTAATTTTGTACTAACTCAAACTGAGTACTCATATGTATGAGTGCTCAATGAGTAATGAAAAATCAATGAAAATAGTGCTTTTTTATCACTCATCATATGAGGACTGATTTAATACTAAAAATGCAATAAATCAGTACTCATGTCATAAGTGCTCATTAAGTACTAATATTTACTAAAATGAGTACTCGATTAGCGCTAAAATGCCATGAGTACTATTTTAGTACTCATCATATCTCCCTATGTTGATGGAGGATTTTCAATGTATCAGCTTAAACAAGATTTGCCAAAATTGTTTTTGCTGCCACTAGAATACTGTAAGATATTAAATAAATATAATTAAATAAATACCATATATACCTGCTTCACATGTTTCCAAGTCTTCAGTCATAACTCTCCCTGGTAGGCAGTAACATTGGTATCCCCCTGGTACAGCCATACATCTATCAGTACACCTAGTGTTTCTACATGCCACATCTACAATAATATAACAAGTTTAAACCTCTTTTCCTCAACATTCCTGATTCATGATATGAATTGATAAAATGGCCCTACAATAAAGGATAACACATTCTATTTACATTCCAATACACTCAGTATTGCTCAGCCAAGATGGTCATGTGACTGAAACTGGCCAATCAGATAAATGGATTTAGACTCCAAAATGGTCACATGACTGAAACTAGCCAATCAGATATACAGATTTAGAATAGTTACTCCTACCTGTCAAGGGAGCTGGATGGTGAAGAACAACTTGTGTAGGTCTGTATAGATGGCGTGCTAGTGGCTGAACAAACCCTGTCTTCAGGTTCAACATGGATGTCTCATTCTTGTACCAATCAGTGTACACCAAGAAATCATGGTAAACCGTCATGCCAAATATGTGATCCATCAAACCAGTGACATGTAGCAGCTCCCGACAGTTGCCACCTGAGACAGAAGTGGGATTATGGCATCATTCATACATAATCTTATCATTTATCAATTACATATTACAGGAATAAGTTTATTTTGAAAGGTAAATATAAAATAGTAAGCAACGTCCACATACTCAATAATAACCTCTATTTTTATCTTTAAAAACTGGTTAGTTTGATTATTGTAATTAATATGTAATTAGGACCGGTGTGAAGAACAACCCACTATTAAAAGAGAGTTGGTTATCTGTTATCTATAAGAGTCCAATCAAAATTGTCTTAATCAAGCTCACACTCACCATCAAGGTCCATGACATGAATTCTCCTAAAAGCTCCATCAGCAACATATAGTTTTTCACCATATTGAGCAACAGCATTGGGCCACCTTAGACCCTTCGTCATGATCACCTTAACACTGTCGCCATCTAGATTGGAGCGACTTATCTTTGGAATTCCCGACTTTTTACCATATTCACTCCAGAATATATAGCTGTGAAATTGAATAGTTAATTTAAATGTTTTATATAAAACAACCAACATTTCTTTGCAAACAACATACTGGAGAAGACTCGTGGTAAGAAACAGTCGATCAATACTAACTCAGGAATTTCTCAACTTAAAGACTGCATGTAAAGTTTAAACACTTTGGCCTATATTGTATTCTCACCCAATGTTAGCAAAATGTGAAATATGAAACTTTTTTTCTTATTTCGGAAAGCTGTTGTTCAATGATTTCAAAATTATTTTTTAGTATAGAAGTATGTTGCATCTACTGAAAATCTTCAAGTTTTCCAATTGCTTTCATATAACGAAACTATTAAAGTGCTAAAATCCCTGACCTGTGTTGATTATCTAATGTCAGTGCCCGTGGCGTGTCCAAGTTTCCAATAACTTCCATATAGGTGGCTCTGTTACCATCCAGCCCCATTCTGGCAATGTGCCCCTGGCGACGAGAATAGCCCACCCAATATAGCCTCTTATTGGTTGAATCCAAAGCGAGGCCATCAACAGCAACTTGGGTGCGTCGGAAAATATTTTTCTTTCCAGTGCGAATATCGCTGACCCAGATCTCTTTCCTGGAATGGTACATTTATTGATTTAATTACTATTTTCACATTAACAGAAATTGTTTATAACATTAAAAGTTATATAACATCTTTATTTTAATTAAACAGAGTTCTCTTCATACAACACATAGAATAGGCTGAGCCAGATGTAAGGCATTAACAAAATTTAAGACAAATAATAACAAATACATTATATTTCAATTAAAACTGGGAAAGGGAAGTACTATTTAAGATTATGATATAATAGTATCACTTCCCCTTTAACTCCAATTTAATTCATCATTTTCTAGAAATTCGTCATCTTTCAATAAATGAAAAATTCAATTTTAACTTCGATGCCTAAAAATAAGCATGGCAAACACAAGCTACTACATCAATCCTGGCATTCACATAAAAATTAATATTATTGAAATAAATAATAACACTGTACTGTTGTATATATATAAAAAGAAACCATATGTGATCTGATATTCTTTAATGGCAAAAAATGTGAATGATTACTTCAAACAAAACATTCAATGTGTGCTTTTAAAATAAAACAAACTCTAAAATTGCAAAAATAATCACATAAATGCAAGATTTTAATATAATATTAATGTAGTAATGCCTAAAAAATTGGCTCAAACAGAAAAAACTATCAAATTAAAATATCAAATTGAATCTAAATATTGTGTAAATTATCAGCATGATCCTGAAAATGTTTGTATGATGTAAACATTCTAATTGAGGTTAATAACTTTAAAATGATATATAACTAATGGGAAATATAACAGGTGGGTGAGAGATACCTGATTTTTCTTCTACTTTCTCTGAAAAGGTGTGATATACAGTTGTGATAAAGTGTGATACAGAAGCAATTGTGATATCAAGTGATACATAGTACATTTTTTATGAACATATACCATTAATTAGAAAACAGAAAAAATCAAGTTCACTTTCAGTGTATATTGCATTTTTACAAGAAATGGAATTTGTGTGTATCCAGCATTTATCTAAAAGACTAAAAGCTTCGACAAAGTATTGGGTGTAATTTTTTTCTTCCTTTCCCCAAAACACATGGAAGCTCTATATTAGCTTATCCTACTTTTATCCTACTTTTACAACATATAAACTGTTTTAAATTACATTGCACGCACACAGAAATTTTATCCATGTATTTACAACTAGTTTTCCATCACAAATATAAAGCATAGATCAGATAGCACAGAAAATGTACGGACTATACTTGACTTTTGTTGTTAATATATTCACTTATTTGTGATATTTAAACTGTTTACTCCAAAAATGATCCTCATGAAGTGTGACAACAAAAATCAAATACATCTACAGTAAAACCTGTCAAGAGAATAGATGTGAATCCTTACAATGTGTACAGTGATATTCTGAAATGTGTACTTTTCAAAATTAAAGTGGATATATTTGACTTTAGTTTTCACATTAGACAGGTTTTACTGTACCTGTCCAACAATTTACCCTCCCCCCATAAAGAAAGGGTAGAAATGTAAAGACGAGCGAAGAAATTACATTGATTAAGCGTATCTGTAGAAATAACCCTCTGAAAAACCTTATCACTGTAATTCTTCCTTAAAAGTCATTACATTCCACCTCAACCTTCAAAAAGGCCATGTGATTTCGTTTGGCTATGCCCATATTTAGCAATGACTATATATGGTGGCATGACCTTGACCTACCTTCTGAGGTCACTCCAGTATATCTTGTAAGTATCAGGGTCAAAGGTGAGGGCAACAATGTTTGAGGTGTAGTTGGCATGTGCAATGATGTTCACATGTTGCTTGGAGTTGTGGGGATCTAGGGGTATCAGCTTCACCATGTTAAGATCAGCAAACAGAGCAAAGTTCTCTGGTTCTGGAAACAAAATAAACTTATATTTAATGGAGAAATGGTTATAATGCAATATTCATTCAGCACGACAAAAATTATAGCACAATCAGCAATAGTTAATGAACTTCATCTCATTAATGTTCATCTCAGTGAAAATGAACGTATACACTACAGTTTATAGTTGTAGGTATCACTGGCGGATCCAGAAGCTAACAAGAGGGGGAAGAAGCAGTTCAAATCAGGAAAATTATTCTGCCCCTGCCCCTGGATCTGCCAGTGGGTATCAAATAGACTTAACTCCAATTTGCATGTATGTATTATCTCACACTTACCTTGACAAGTGTTGGTTGTGTTATCATAGACTGCAAAACTTGTATCAGAGCAGAGACATCTATAGTGTTGCTGTGAGGTGGTCACAGGAAGGGACACACAAAGATCTGTACATGTGGATGTCTCACAGGGATCTTGCACTGGAAATAGCAAATAAAGCAACAATGTAAAGCAGGGGTGTAGCTAGGATCTAAAATTGGTGAGACGAATTTAAATAGGGGAGGCAAAAGTTATTATGCCAAATAGGATACTAGTATTACAATTCTACAAGAAGTTATTTTCATATTTTTGTCAAAAAATGACAAAAAATAAAACGTTAGCAAGAAAATTGTCTCTCCTGTCTCTTGGCTAGCTATGCCCATACAAGATTTCCTCTTTTAGTATTGAGGTTGAGGTGCAGAGTAGCACCTCAAGTGGAACACCTCTACAACTGAAACATCCAAATCCTGATACCCATTAACAAAATCAACCTCCAAAGTAGAACACCATTTAAAAAGTTTAACTGTATATTCATAATACTAGCCCTACCTGTATTCTCAATGGATATATCTGTGTAGATTACACCTGAGGGGTTTCGGAGATCTTCCATCAACATCTGAGAAGTCTGTGATGATGTATCATATGCCAGAACATGTCCTGTGTGAGATTCTAAGGTTGACCAATCAGAGATGTAGATTATATTACCATGCACTGACAGCCCAAATGGCACCTAAAATGTAATGGTATTGCCTACTATATATATACATATAGTACAATTGCTTTAAAAAGATTAGCTTTGCATCTAAGTCTGTATAAACAAGTGAGTGATTGCAATAGCTCACCATGTGAGCTAATAAAATGTCAAATAAATGCATTAAATGTAAAAGCAAGTTACCATTTAAGCATATGAATTATACCACATAGTCTAATGTGACAACAGACTAAAAAGTATATGTATTCAAGGTGCATATGATAACTTCCATGTAAAAAGCATGGAATGCTGGGAACTTCATACTCCTTTGAACAAGGTAACCTGGGACCACATCCTCCTTTGAATCACCTACCTGCAGATGCTCATTCATACTAATGTGCTGCCATCTATCTAAATCTGCATCAAATACACTGATCAATGGAGCCTCTATCTTTTGATCATAATTGGAATCAACACAGTACAAGCGCCCATGGGCCACTGTCAAAGTATTGGGGTTGCTCAACTTTGTGTTTTTCACAACCTTAGCATGAGATCCATCCAGCCAGGTCTGGATTATTCTGGGACTCTGACCAAGTTCAGAGTAGTATAAGTATCTGTAATTAAAAGTAGAAAATGGGTTAAAATGTAGTATGGAGGCTTGTAGTCAGTGTGTTTACAACGTATCTATGTTATCGGTGGTAAAACCCGAAAGATGTTCTTTTACTGTTTCTTTTTACTTAGACAATTTGATCAAATTAAATTCATTTATCTATTATTTTATTTTTTTTTATTTTTTTTTTTTTTATTTATTGATTTCTCTATTAAACAATTATTTCAGCTAGCACAAGACTTAAAACTACAGTGAAACCTATAAAGTGGAACAACTCTGTTAGTGGAACACTTTTCCCAAGTCCCAAGACCAACTAAATAAACCTCTGTTAGTGGAAAACTTTTAAGAGGTATCAAAGGTGTTCCACTTAAGACAGGTTTTACTGTAGTTCAAAATAGCCAGCTTACTTTCTCTGCATGTCTACTGCTATAGCTCTAGGTTTTACAACATTGTCTGCAATGACGTAACGCCCCCCTCTTTCAAGGTCCACCATCTCTACACGCTGCCAGTTGTAGATGGCACCATCAGCTGCTGGGGCAGAGCGCCCTCTATTGGTAAAATAGAGCTTTCGGGATATATAGTCTACTGTCAATCCTAAACAAAGAAATGAACACATTTAAAAGAAATAATATTTAACAGGTTACTTAAGAGAACCATCAACATACAGTAATGAGTAATTAACCCTCAAACCTTTCGCAAAAGAGACCCTAAATCAAAGTAAATGTGCATATTTTTGACATGTCACATATTTATAAGATTACAAATCCTTAACTTGATTCAATATACTAACTCAATATTAATCAAGAAAAGGTACATCAAGTCCTCCAAATATTTGCCATTATCAGGGCTATAAATGAGGTAATTCACTGGATCCCCCCCAGCTAACAATAACTAGAAAAACAGCAACTCCACGGAGTAGCAAATCCCACCAAACAAAACATGTTTTGATAAAAAATTTGAGCCAAATTCATCCACTTATATTTGAATTATCAAAGATTATGTTTTTATGAAACATGGTTGTCATTTTGAAATTCAGCTGTCATCTTTAGATTTCTTCTTTAGCAGAGAATGTCCGTCCAATGGTATTTGGGTTATCAAAGATTACTGTTTTAATGAAAAATGGCAGCCATTTTGAAATTCAGCTCACGCCTTTGAAATTTCTTCTGAAGCAGATCTCCTTTTTCCCTAAACATCAGCAAATAAAATTGGAACCAAATCCATCCACTGGTATTTGAGTTATCATTAATTACGTTTTTTTATGAAAAATGCAGTCATTTTGAAATTCAGTGGCCATTTTGAAAATTTATTTTTGAGCAGAACTTCTTTGTCTCTAGGCATCAGCATATAGAATTTGAACCAAATCCGTCATTTGGTATTTGAGTTATCAAAGGTTACGTTCTTTTATGAAAAATGGCGGCCATTTTGAAATTTAGCTACCACCTTGAAAATCCCTTCTCGAGCAGAGCTCCTGTGTCCCTAGGCATCATCATGTAAAATTTGAACCAAATCCATTCAATGGTAATTGAGTTATCAAAGATAATGTTTTTTTTACGAAAAATGGCCGCCATTTTGAAATTTAGCTGCCATCACGAAAATCCTTTCTAGAGCAGAGCTCCTATGTCCCTAGGCATCAGCATCTAAAATTTAAACCAAATCCATTCAATGGTATTTGAGTTATCAACGATAACGGTTTTTACGAAAAATGGCTGCCATTTTGAAATTTAGCTGCCATCTTGAAAATCCTTTCTCGAGCAGAGCTCCTATGTCCCTAAGCATCAGCATCTAAAATTTGAACTAAATCCATTCAGTGGTATTTGAGTTATCAAAGATAACGTTTTTTACGAAAAATGGCCGCCACGGATGGACGAACGGACGGATGGACGGCTTTTCTATATCCCCCTCGAACTTCGTTCGGTGGGATAACAAGGACCACCTACCATCTACTACTCCTATGCCTTGTGATGAACTGAGAACAACCTGCTTGTTACCAGCAAACACATGAACTTTATAAATAGCCCTGTCTCTTACATCACTCCAGTAGACCATCTGAAACAGAATCAACAATGGAAATTGTGGTAAATGTATCTGCATGCAAAAATGAATGTTTGGATGGCTGGGATTGGAATGATTAATAAAAATCTTTTTCAATCCTCATCTGATTTCCTGTTTTGCCAAAATTCACATTCAAGAATTTTTTAACCTTAATCATCAAAATGGTAGATCCTTTAACACAGTAACACTCATTTTATAGAAAAATTATTGTGCTGATTGTAAAACGTAGTTCTGAGGTTTTATTATTAGGTAGCCTTTAAGTAGGATGAAAAATATTTCCAGAAAATGAAGAATGAGCAAAACCAACATCATACCTGATGAAGAGGGTCATAGGCTAGAGCCACTGGATTGTTGCTACTGGCAACCAGCCTCTTTTTCACTTTACGTTTCCCATGTAACGTCACAAACCAGATACCACCTTGGTCCATTTCAGCATACAAGAGAACTGATTCAACATCTACAAAGACAAATACAATGTTTGTCAATACTTGGCTGACTATATCTGATCAATATTTATTTGTCAATATTAAGATTTTAAATACAAAAAAAGATTCCCACGACTAGAAGCATTATAGCTACAATAATTCTGAGGCAGCATATTTTCCATGATCCAATGTAAGGTATTACGTTGAGTAGGTACAAGGTGAACCCCTAAAAACGCAACCCTCCAATTTGATTTTCAATCATGCCTGTTCTGGTTGATGTACATTGTACCTTACAGATTAACTATGTTGAGTAGGTGCAGGGTGAGCTCCTAATTTAAGTATGACTTGAATGAAAACTAATTTTTTGTTTGGGTCACCCTGTACTATGGTGGTGTTCCTTGGCCTAACTTAGTTTCTATACTATACCTTTACAATTGAGGCCATCTGCTGCCAGTTGCTGCTCTATATCCGGACAGACACATCTATAGCTATCAGCTCCTGTTACTAAGCATCCCTTGCTACAGCCTCCCTGAGACTCTTGGTGACATGGGTTACCACCTTAAATAATAATAAGATAACATTTACAGCCTCCCTGAGACTCTTGGTGACATGGGTTACCACCTTAAATAATAATAAGATAACATTTACAGCCTCCCTGAGACTCTTGGTGACATGGGTTACCACCTTAAATAATAATGAGATAACATTTACAGCCTCCTTGAGACTCTTGGTGACATGGGTTACCACCTTAAATAATAATAAGAAAACATTTACAGCCTCCTTGACACTCTTGGTGACATGGGTTACCACCTTAAATAATAATAATGAGATAACATTTACTTTAGGACTGAAACACAACACCATTTCATCTCACTCTGATTCAGCCTGTAAGTCTACTTTTTGTCACCAATAGCTAAAGTAATTTCTTATCATGTGTACTTGATTATCTTTTTTTTACTTGGTATTTGATTGTTATGGCATAAAGTTAGTAAGAATATGGTTATTAATGACTGCACACTAAAAGTACACTAGACCTGCACTAAAAATGCACTTAGTGTGCACTAGAACTGCACTAGGATTGTACTAAGAGTGCACTAGGATTGCACTAGAAATGCACTAGGAGTGTACTAAAACTGCCCTAGAATTGCACTAAGAGTGCACTAGTACAGCACTAAATGTAACTTACTAGTTGGTTGTGTTGCTGGGCTGTCTACTGCTAAACTGAATGCATTCCTACAGTGCAGGGGTATAGTAGCATCTGGTAAACTGCCTTCCCTATATAGTGGAAGTATTATCAATGTCCCTGGAGTCCAGGTAGTCATATAAAGGGAAGTATCATCTGGAACATAACAACAATATATCATCAGATCAGTTATTTAAGTCCACCTTTCTACTGTTTATAGCTTTATTAGACCAGTGGCTGAGTCTAACCATTGTTTAGGGTAGTTTTGTGTAGTTTTGTGTTGTTTTGTGTAGTTTTGTGTTGTTTTGTGTAGTGGAGTGATATCCCCAGAAGTGAGGCCTATAGGTAATGCACACATTTGATAGTTTCAAAGCAGATATTCCACCCACATGGAAACCTAGTTTCACCAATTTGACAATGAGAGAAAAAATCATGAAAAATTGGTCAGCATTGTGAAAGTAAAAATTGGTCACCCATTTGAGGATGATTATTGAAAGAAGATACTTTTTAGAGGATACAATATTATATAATATAATATATAACTTTGATTTATTAATCCTTACAAAAGAATCTGTATCTGAGACTGCTTATATCTTACCTACTGCTAAACCAAAGAGAGGCTGGGAATGTTGCATTCTTGGAAGTTGTTGTACGAATGTTTTACCGTCATAAGTTAAAGACATTACAGTCTTGTGAAACCCATCTACCAAATAAAGTTTTCTGAAATAAAAAATACAATCAGAATGAAAAAAAGAAAAAATGTTATATACATACATGACTTTGTACTTTCAAACATAATATCCCTTGGACTGAATTTTGTATATTTAATTATCAAAATCAGTACATGTACACATAGACTAGTAAGGCCAAGAGATTTCTGTTAGACTACCCCCTTAATTCACCCCTAATTACCTTTGTCTTATATCAATAGCTAGCTGGTTTGGCCAAGTTAGGTCTGTATTCTTCAATAGACTCCTTTCAGATCCATCAAGTCTACTGCGCTCCAGAGTACCAGTGCCCTGATCTCCCCAGAATAAATAGCTGAAAATACATAAATAGACATTAAATATATTAGACTTTATACCATAAAAAATAGCTGTAAATGCACAAATGCTGTATGGCAATGTACGATACTGTATATAAGACTTTATTTGGAAGATGTCCTCCAAGAGTTGACAGTCAGTCTTGTAAAGGTCAGTCTGTTATTGTCACACCATCTTAAGTGCTAAATTCAAATCTATGAGAAAATAGTATACGCTGGATACAAAGGGATATCACATCATATCAGTTAGATACGCTTTGCAAGAGCTCGACTCATACTGTACTTGTACTCTACTTTTTTGATTAAACCAATTCTATGACCTAGTCCTTATCCAATCACAATCCATCCTTTTTTGCATGAAAGAAAACAATGTTCATTTCACATATGAAATTCAACTCCCATAAAGTCCCATAAACCCATATTCTTATCAGAATCAAACTGAAAACAATCTGTTACTGACGTGATTGAGTATAATCTTAAACAATCACACTAGAATATCATTTCAAATACTTGAGATAAAAATTTCATTAACTTATTGATTAAATCTCCATCATCATCAAACAATTTCAGTGGATATTTGTTCTAACCTTCAGTATTACAAGAGACTACATCCTGTGCTATTCCATGATATCATATCAATCAAGTGATCCTGGAATATGTAAACTGTCAATATAAATCTCATAAATATTATTAAGTCAGTTTCCCAATAAGCTGGATTTTGTACTTTGTCTTGTGGAACACTGTTTTCGTTAGTAGCTAGAAATGCAGAAGTTGTAGTATGTAGGTGAATCAGTGTGAATTAGGTACAATATTGGCCATATTCTTATAATATTACTGAAAAAAGTAATAAAGAATCCATTCATAAATAATCATTGAAATGAAGGACAGACACAGTACTCTTTCTAATCTGATTTTTAAGAGAGCATCTTACTTGGCTCAAATGGATATCATTTTATGCAGACTGAACAAGGTAAGTATACGTAGCATACAAAAGGATGCAGACAGAGAGTTATGAAATGCTTTTTACATTTAAAGGGAGAAAAGACAGAAAATGACAATCTTAGCTCATCTTTCATTCCTAATTTCCCTCACTGATTGGAATCTTGATATTTTACATAAACTTAAGGGTGACTGAGCCTATATTGGTCAGTAAATCAAAAAAGCTATGAATCATACACATCCTTGTTCATCCTCTCTTGAAAGCTCATGGTGGTACGTTCCCTTAAATCATACAGGTAAATGATATTCATCAAAGTCTGCAACTGGAGAAACTGGAATGCTACATTCCTATACATCAGGAAATAGAAGTCTTTTAACTACAGATCTGTCTTCATTTTTCATGATAAGCGTTACCTGGCAAAATAATTACAATTTGGGCAAGCTAGATGATATCCCCCTTTTCTGAAACTTGAATAAATGGTCTTTGTTTCCTTATGTTTCATTTTTATTTCTTCACTTTTGGTCTTATCCTTATATTCCTTGCCATTCATCAGTTGTTCTCTCTGTAGGAAAATGACATTGAAAATTTAGTGATAGGTCTAATTCCATCTCAGTAATCTATATCAGGATGCGATCATGATAATCACAAAGTGGAAGAAAACATTACTGGCATCGAGTCATGCATCAAGGCCCTGTACGTACTCCCCCTCCATTCTGTCTCTCTATCACAAAGTGAAAGGAGATGGGAGATTGTGAGATATGATGGAGAGTCATTGTGTAGTAGCACCATCATAACTTAGTCTTGTATTAAGCCTCTAGTCCCCCTATATATTTCTCTGGTATGATGTTATAGATATTAAAGGGAGGTATAACAGTTGGGCTTGATGGAAGACTAACAATCCTAGCACTCAATCTCTGCTCCTTAAAGTACTCATTTGTATATATGGTGCAAGACTAAAATCAACCTAAAACAAACCTTTGCCCTAAGTGTGGGTATTTCTGAGGTAATATGCAGAGTATGATGATAACAGAAGGATGCAACAAGGCACTGTGACCCCCCATCCCCCCCCCCCATGCCTCACCTGAATCTTTTGCATACTGGGTGCTGAGCTTTGATTTCCTTATAATTAACATAGATACTTTATTGGTTATACAATATCAGAAAATACAAAATGTTTATTGATTGAGTCGCTCGTGAATGTTTACTAAAATAATGATACAGGATGTATCTCCATTAGTAACACAAGGCTAAGAAATAAAATCAATGTTTAATATTTCAATTTTGAGAGATGAGGCATTTTCTTTAATCCTTTCAGCAATAAAGCAATAGAAGAAACATGGTAGATTAACACGTTTACAGCCTTTATTGTATGAGGTTATTTTTTGTATTTTCTATAGGATGCAAGGCATACTGCTATTACTCATTGACTACCATTTCTTGATCTGACAGAGGGATGATTTACTTATAGCTTTGTTAGCAAAGCTTATTCCTTGAAGTTGCAATAGCATTGATGCTATGTAATAAATCACTATTTCCCAGATTGAACACTCTGTCTACAAGAGAAATCCACAAACACCATCAAATATGATTGAACCACTCTTTTATGCTTGCTGATATGATCTTAACACTGAAACAGGGGAACATGGCATATTAGGCAAAGAGAAATAATATGTAGTTAATATGTAGAAAGAGAAGCTAAACATATTTTTTAATGTAATCAGTTGTTCTCTCTATTGGAGAATGGCATTGAAAATTTAGTGATAGGTCTAATTCCATCTCAGTAATCTATATCAGGATGCGATCATGATAATCACAAAGTGGAAGAAAAACATTACTGGCATCGAGTCATGCATCAAGGCCCTGCACATACTCCCCCTCCATTCTGTCTCTCTATCACGAATTGAAAGTGAAAGGAGATGGGAGATTGTGAGATATGATGGAAAATCAGTGTGTAGTAGCATCATCATAACTTAATCTTGTGTTAAGCCTCTAGTTCTAGTCCCCTTATATATTTCCCTGGTATGATGTTATAGATATTAAAAGGAGACAATAACAGTGATGGAAGACTAACAATCATAGCACTGAATCTCTGCTACTTAACTCTTAATTTGTAGATATGGTGCAAGACTAAAATCAACCTAAAACAAACCTTTGCCCAAAGTGTGGGTATTTCTGAGATAATATGCAGAGTATGATGATAACCGAAGGATGCAACAAGGCACTGTGACCCCCCCATGACTTACCCCCCCCCCCTCCCCATGCCTCACCTGAATCTTTTTGATTCTGGGTGCTGAGCTTTGATTTCCTTATAATTAACATAGATACTTTATTGGTTATACAATATCAGAGTATGCAAAATGTTTATTGATTGAGTTGCTTGTTAATGTTTACTAAAATAATGATACAGGATGTATCTCCATTAGTAACACTAGGCTAAGAAATAAAATCAATGTTTAACATTTCAATTTTGAGAGATGAGGCATTTTCTTTAATCCTTTCAGCGATAAAGCAATAGAAGAAACATGGTAGATTAACACGCTTACAGCCTTTATTGTATGAGGTTATTTTTTGTATTTTCTATAGGATGCAAGGCATACTGCTATTACTCATTGACTACCATTTCTTGATCTGACAGAGGGATGATTTACTTATAGCTTTGTTAGCAAAGCTTATTCCTTGAAGTTGCAATAGCATTGATGCTATGTAATAAATCACTATTTCCCACATTGAACACTCTGTCTACAAGAGAAATTCACAAAAACTCCATCAAATATGATTAACCACCCTTTTATGCTTGCTGAATATAATCTTAACACTGAAACAGGGGAACATGGCATATTAGGCAAAGAGAAATAATATGTAGTTAATATGTACAAAGAGAAGCTAAACATACTTTTTATTCCGGCCTTAAATATCAATACAAGGTCATCATAACTTTTTTACCTGTAAAATGACTTCGCAAAAATGTGCTAATTATATTTTATCTTCTTCAGCCTCATTTTCAGGTTACTTTGTATAGATAAACTGCTGTGTTTTGCGATGTTAATGATTGGTACAAACATGAGGGAATGTTCGATCAAATGCCCCATGATGTTCATATACTCTTCTATAGCGAGAATTCGCAAGACCATGATGCGCATTTATCTGTCTATAGAGGATGTTCATATACAAATCTGTCTCTAAGAGGGTCGGGATTACATAATGATAAGTTTATATCAGATGTCAAAATTGACAAAATCCAGCTCATGGAACAACACTGTCACACTGATTTATATGGGGATGTTCATATACAAATCTGTCTATAAGAGGGCCAGGATTACCTAATGATTAGGTTATATCAGATGTCAAATTTGACAAAATCCAACTCATGGAACAACACTGTCACACTGATTTATATGGGGATGTTCATATACAAATCTGTCTATAAGAGGGCCAGGATTACATAATGATTAGGTTATATCAGATGTCAAAATTGACAAAATCCAGCTCATGGAACAACACTGTCACACTGATTTATATGGGGATGTTCATATACAAATCTGTCTATAAGAGGGCCAGGATTACCTAATGATTAGGTTATATCAGATGTCAAATTTGACAAAATCCAACTCATGGAACAACACTGTCACACTGATTTATATGGGGATGTTCATATACAAATCTGTCTATAAGAGGGCCAGGATTACATAATGATTAGGTTATATCAGATGTCAAAATTGACAAAATCCAGCTCATGGAACAACACTGTCACACTGATTTATATGGGGATGTTCATATACAAATCTGTCTATAAGAGGGCCAGGATTACATAATGATTAGGTTATATCAGATGTCAAAATTGACAAAATCCAGCTCATGGAACAACACTGTCACACTGATTTATATGGGGATGTTCATATACAAATCTGTCTATAAGAGGGCCAGGATTACATAATGATTAGGTTATATCAGATGTCAAAATTGACAAAATCCAGCTCATGGAACAACACTGTCACACTGATTTATATGGGGATGTTCATATACAAATCTGTCTATAAGAGGGCCAGGATTACATAATGA